GTCATGTACCTTCGATTTCTCATTTCCAAAATGTCGAGATTGGGGATCCTAATTCATTTTGGAAACACAAATCCTAATTCATTTATCGTTTTCTCTCATTTTCAATTTATACACCAACTCTCAAAGGAAGATTAACAATTATCATATGCCGTCTACCGTCAAGCTTAGCTACCATCTTCGCATGGACTTTTGAAATCGAATTTTCAACTTTCGATTCTTTCTTCCTCAAATATTATTTTTTTCCCTCAATCAATAATAAAACTAGAACTAAACCAAATCAATCCAAAACCGAATGGTTTGTTTCTGATTTGGTTCCATATTTAAAAAAAAACCATTTGATTCCATTATATATATATATAAATCATTAGTTTATGATTCAGTTCAATTCTCGTGGAACCAAAATCAAATGGAACCATGTCCACTCGTAATCAATATTTAGAATTATTACTCTGTTTGATCATATGCTGGGTGATAAGATTTTGGCTCAAGTACAATTCTTGCAGTTAGTTTCTTTCTCAATGAGAAGCTAAACGGAAGCTCAAGAGATACGTCGTCTTGAGCCTCAAGAAACGGGATGCTGTAACACGAACGCAAAAGCAGTTAAACTGAAAGAGAGACCAGAGCAGCACTATGAAGAGAATGGGAAATGCATATACATTAAGAGTGCTTTTGATTGGCCATTATGAGACAAATTCCAGTCAGTAGTCGAAACTATGAATGGAACACTTCCTTTTTCCACAGCAGATCTAGTTGCTCAACTAGGGGTGGAAGTGTGGAACATTATGATTACAAAGAATAAGCGTGCAGGAAATTCTGGAAATTGAGCGACCCTAATACTCAAAAGGCCAATACGAGTTCTCCGCATGTTGGTTATGTTCGTGGTAGACGACTGAACTAGGTTCGGCAGTTCCATTATGGCTAGAGCTGGAGCGAGAGGATCCAAAAGGCCATAAGAAAGACCATCTTCTCCTCCTGCCCGGATTCTCAGTTCTGTTCTCTCGACTGCCAAATCTCCTGCTCCAGCTTCTATTTGTTTCCCTAGAATGGTAATTATTGCTCTCGTTGCTTGATTGCTGAGGAGTTAGCTCCTGGCGACAAACTGGGCACGAACTGCGTTGTTGTAGCCACGGGACAATGCAATCTGAGTGATATAGATGTTTGCACGGTAACTTCGTCACTCGTGAACCCAATTCGAATTTTTCTTTGCAAACAGCACAGGTTGAATCAGAACGGACAAGCTTTTTTGAAATCTTGATTGTCGGTAGGGCATCAATGAAGGATCTTGAAGCTGGAGGAGGGACATTTTGGTTGTTGCTTGTAATATGCTCGAAAAATTCTTCCACTCCAGGGCCAATAAAGTAATCGCCACCACTGTCTCGTCTAAATCCAAGAGCATCATTAAGAAACTCCAAGAGCCCACCACTACCAGGCATCCTTACTGGCACATCACCACTGAAAACTAGGAGTGAATTCCACGAGTTACCATTCAGAGGACCCCCTTCAGATCTCTCTCGGCTGTCAGTCACGTTGCTTCTAACAGTCATTTGTTGTCTGAGAAAATTTGAGACAGCTTCCATAAACCTTGGCCTCCGGTCATTATTTTCAGTAGTCGTGCTCATCATATCGTCAAGCTCCTGAACAAAACCTCCATCACAGTTGGGGCATAATGATCGTCCCTGAAGAATTACGGGTTCCCTGCAACTATAACACCAATGCATGCTTCCGTTGCTTGACATCTTCGTTCTCTCCAATTCTTGCCTCGCTTACCTCCTAGTCCTGCTCATGTTAACTGTCAAACTGAGCTAAACACCTAAAAAAATTTAGTGCAAGTTTGAAATTAACAAGATTTTAGCTTTCTTTTTCTTGTCTAATAACGTTCGATCCCTATCCAATTCTGTACCAAACTACCCATTAAATAACATACTCAAAACGAAATTAAATGTGCATCAAGACTAGAACTTGATTCCTACTATCCGTAAGTCCATTAATTCCTCACAGATTTCTCAAAAAAAATTTTTAATAAAAAACTACAAGAGTTGAAATGCAGATCAATTCATTTAGGGAATAAACAACAGAAATGATCTTCAGTAAACACTTGAAGTAACAAATCAAAAAAAAAAAAAAAAAAAAAAAATAGAAAAGAGGAAATATTCTTGATGGATCAAGATTTCAAGAATCTGGATCGAAAGAACATAAAAATCTTCATATTATTACTCAATTGGTCCCTAAAAATTCAATTACTTAATTTCATAATATAAATTCTGCCTCTAAAAGACACATATAAAAGTATCATATCAAGAATTTACTAATCACTATAATAATCCCTGAACCCATTGCATCAAATCAAAGAAAACGCATTCCAAATTAAGCTAAAGTTCCAGAAAAACAAGAAAAACTATTCAAATGGAAAAGAAGATAACAGAAAGCAGAAAGGGAAAATAAGCTAGAATGTTCATACCTTTAAGGTAGTGGATAAATAGACAAAGAAAAAAAAGACCCAGATGGATAACTCTCTGATGAAATAGGAAATTTGCAAGAGAGTGAGTGCAGTGTGCCCGTGAGTTGAGCTAATGATGTGCCTTTTGAGTAAGAAATTGGATTATAATTAGAGTGAGAGAGTGCTGTCCTTGTCTGTCATTTGTTGCAGAATGAAGGCAGGATTGGGCCGCACGTGGGTCATATAATGGACTCTTTAACATTTCCAACATTAAGCTCCCGTTTGGCCCCTTATTCTTCAATTAAATTATAATTTATTTTTTCCATTAAATTTTTTTTTTCCTTTTTTTAACCATATAGTCTATAAAAAAAAAATACTATTCCTTTCATTATAATGTGGAATAATGAAAGCCAAACGGGCACTAGTTGTTATAAGGATTCTGATCCTAAACTATCCCCTGTTTGGCCCCCATTAGTTTATAATACATTTTCCTCTCATCCTTTTAACTACATATTTTTCATAAAATAATATTATACGTAAATAAAAAAATTTCTTTTTTTAATCAAACATTCTTAAAAAAAAAAAAAAATTATTTCAAAAATTATAACATAAAATAATGGGGAAAACATGTATGATATTTTTAAGATTTAGCCCTTGTTTGATTCACATTATTTCCGAAATTCATTTTTCTTTTTCTTGTTTTCAATCTCACTTTTTTCAATAAAATAATATTACACTTAAATTTAATTTTTTTTATTTTTTAGCCACATATTCTCCATCAATCTACTATATCAAAATATATTCTTACAATAAAATGAGGCTCAAACATGCTTTTAATCATGAGATGGGTGTGGGGATTACCAGTATATTTTCAAGACAATCTTTATTTATTTAAATTTTTTTACTTATAAATAAAAAAATTATTGCTTTAAACATAGGAAATTTTTCATTGTTAGTCCTCAACCTACACACTTTGTCGCACGTTTTGTCCTTAATGTACGTTTCTTGGCAGTATGGTTCTCATCCAATCTGTTTTAGAGCGTCATTGGTCCTTAGTATGGTTCCATCCATTTAACAATTAAAAAAATTAATTTTTATTTAAAAGCCTCTACACCATTATTTTTAAAGTATGATAAGTTAGAAAAAGGAAAAGGAAAATAGACCTAGGAAAAATATTGATTTATTTATTCCTTTTCCTTTTGTTTTATTATTATTTACTAATGGGGGATCGTGCGGTTATAATTTAAAAAAGTTTATCTTGTAAAATTTGTTCTTTGCCTAAGAAATGAAAAATCGGTAGGAAGAATGTATAATATTAGTAGTTGAAAAAGCATTGAGTAAATTTTAGAATGGAGCTTTTCGGTTCTCAATCAATTTATTGTAGCTTTTCGCGGGGTACATGGTTTATAAAATCAGTTTTGCCACATTTATATTTTGGTTGACAGTTTTGTTTACATTCTATGATGCGGCACACATTTTTGCAATTGATTTGAACAACACTTAAACAATAAACGACTTCAATTTTTACACATTATGAAATGTAAACGAAAATGTATAAAATGGAATGTATAAATAGCTTAATTCCTATAAAATAACAATTGTAAAGATGATATTCATACCTTGAACCTCGACAAAATCACATGAA